TATAAAAATTTCAACCTTTAATTTTGAACTTAAATTAAAATCTTTAAATTAATAAATACCAACTTAATTATTGGTCCTAAAAATGATAATAATTGTGTTTATTTTAACTAATTTTATTAGTCTATAATTTTAACTATTTATAGTATTTAAAAAAATTAATTTTAATATTATATTAAATAATAAATATCAATTATATACTAATCTTTTAATATTCATAAATTACTTTCACTCAACTAATTCAAAATTTCAAATAATAACCACTTTAAACTTTACAAAAAAAACATTTCTTTTAAATACATATTTTTCCATTTACAAACTTAAATTTAAGATGGTAATTGAATTAAGCATTTAAACCCAATTATTGGTCCAGAAACCTTAAATGTCTTTACATTATTAATAAAAAAATCCACTCTTACCAGTTATTTTAAAAAAATTTCTCCACCCCAAAATTTTCATTGTTCAAAAAAAAAATAAAAAAAATAATAATAAAGAAGATGTAATTAAAGAAAACCGATTCTCCTTACCTTCCCACCTACGGATCGTTGCTTTGTTTTTATGATTTGTAGTTCGACGGAATTCCAACTAGTAGCCAATGAAAAATGCAAGAAAGACCCACACTATTAAAATTGTCTCCCGCCATTGACGCCTAAATCCTCTGACTCATCCCTCCACCATCACAACCATCATCTAAGTCCATAGAACGAAGCGAAGCTTCTAGGAGAAAAAAAAAAAAAAAAAAAGGATCTCACACTCGGGTTTTTTTTTTCTGCTGATTTCCTTTGATCCATAGATGAAAGCTAAATCGAAGAACTCCACCTCCAGGAGGAGCTTAGGGTTATATACTGCCCTACTCTTATGCACACTTTTCTTCCTCGCTGGCTTGTTTTTCTCCACCCTTTTCTCTCAGGTAATACACGCGCATTTCTGTATTTAGAGTAGACTTTGTGTTTGTGTTGATTTTGTGCTTGATCGGTGTAAACAGGGTGTGCCTCCTATTAGGTCGAGGCAGAGACGGATTGAGTTGGGGGAGGTGGGGGCGGAGGTCGCTGATGTCATGCCGCATGGGGAAACTGGAGAGGGGTATATTGAATCCATCCCATTTCAGGTGATTCTCATTTTATTCTTATTTTTATTTTTCCAAATTTAGGTTGTTTGAGGCAGTGGCTTTGTTTTTATGATTGCTCAATGTCAGTTTGGTGCTAGAATTTGTCTAAACTAAAATTGAAACATTTTGATTAATTTTTCTACTTTGGGCATGGAATTTTTGTCTTCAAGTATTAAGTTTATGATATTTAGATTAATTCTCATATGGCTTATGACTCAAAAGTCATTGTTGGTTCAAAGCCTTTTACATATGCCTCTATGAAATATGTATGAGAAAGGAACATGTTTGAGAGTGGAGGACGGAAGTGGGAAGTTTGTTAATAGAATGCTATAAGATTATGAGTGATGCGAGGATGGCATGTGGAGTAATTGTCCAAATTATTGGCATAAAGGTGCTTCCTCACCCATATGGGCAGGGTTCAAACCCTCATTCCCCCTTTCCAGCCCTCTTCCCCATGAGGGTTTCAACCAATTGGCCTGTCCTATCAAAAAAAAAAAAAAAAGAGAAAAAGAAAAAAAAGATTATGAGTGATGCATTTTTAGTTACTGTTCTTGTGCCAGCTGAATAAACCATCAGCTTGCATTCTTTTGTAGCCTAACTTCCCAACAATTTAAATTTCTTCACTATTTTTATTTTACTGAAGTCATACTTGCTAATTAATGCAGATCTTAAGTTGGAAGCCACGAGCTCTCTATTTTCCTAATTTTGCTACTGCAGAACAATGCCAAACCATAATTGAAAGGGCTAAGGTGAACCTTAAACCATCTACCTTGGCCTTGCGGAAGGGAGAAACTGCTGAAAACACTAAAGGCACCAGAACAAGGTGTCTTTACTCACCATCATTCTTACTTTTGGATTCAGTGGTTCTTAGTTTCTTTGATAATAATTTTATTAGTAATTGGTCTAATGAGCTGATTCTGAAAATCATAAAGTGCTTGTCATCTGTGAATGTAATTTTAATAGATGAATCTTGATAGGACACTTTGTTTATCTTCACTGCTTGTTCAACTTATGTTGTTAATTTATACCTTCCTCGGCAACAGTTCTGGAACTTTTCTTAGTGCATCAGAGGAAAAAACTGGGGTTCTGGATTTCATTGAGAAAAAAATTGCAAAGGCTACAAGCATTCCAAGGAGTCATGGAGAGGTACATTATCTTTTCCTAGGGAAACTATTGTCTGATCACATGGTGTAGAGCTGTAGTGTAAGTGATTTATTAGATCAGAAACTTGAGGAATATGGTTTCCATTTTCTGTGTTGAATAGTTGAAGTCTCTTTTGCAGTTTTTATGATTAGTTTCCATTAAATTTTCATAATTATTGTATTTGGTATATTACAAATCTTTCTGTCATTTTGAATAACTAGTAATAATTTAAACCAGGCTATTTGCAAATTGCTCCTTGCCGGAACCTACTCCAGTGGGATAACTAGGTGTCAAGCCCTTTTGTAATAATGGAAATGTCAAAGCATTCCACTGGTACTAACAATAGTACCTGTATAGGCAATAAACTAAATTATTGATGCAGGATCTGGTAGATGGGTTTTAAGGTTTCAGAGCCTCTAGAGCCGTTTGGTTGCCAGAAAACAGAAAAAGCTTGTAGGAAGGAGTCAAGATCCTTAGGTAAGATTAGCAGAATAGTTGAAGGATAAGAAACACTACTTGTTAGCACTTAATGCTGGGGTTTTAAAGCAAGGGTACTTAGGGATGTAATCGCAAGAAGTGGAAAGGTGCCAGAAGTAAACTTTGATTTATTTTCTCTTCTATAGTTTTATCTTGAATTGGTAGAGAAGATAACTTATA